GCGTAAGGCCTACTGTGTATTGACTGAAGGGTTCCTAGCAACGGCTGCTTAAGCGTCTCCATCCGTCCTCGACTGCATTACTTTCTCTTATTCAGCTTTCTTCATGCCTTATTCATTTGTCTGCATTGTGCGAGTTGTGTGAATTGTGAATTTTGCTGACACATTCATCATTTCTATAATATTCTCATTTATAAACATAAACACTCTGCGGTTTCGCTCTGCCTCGGGGCCATTGTCAAGAGTCAGCTAGATTTTTAATTAACTCGTTGGAACTTAAGACGACATCAATTTAATGAAAACCGCAACTAATTACTTTTCATACTCCAGCATGAACTTAAGATTTATCAAATTGAATGAAGCTCTAGATGAGACTCAAAATATGTTGATGCATTTGCCTAGTTAGTTATAATTAAGGATTAAGAGTGAAAAACAAAATATATTCTGGAATAAGCATTCATGGGAGATTGAGCTAAGCGCAAGACTCATTGAGAACTTTCAGTTTATTTCCAGTTGCCATACATTTATTTAACTTTAAACACGTTTATGCTCTATTTACCACATATAAAAGATGAAAGTAAAGTTGAAATTATTTGGCGAGAGAATCAAATGCAGAGTTATTTCAGACCAGACGCCGCCAACAGCAGCCCAGAACTTTGCGCAAAGTTAAATTGAAGCTGAGTTTATTAAATTGCTGCACAATGCATATTTAATGCACACTTTCACGGTTTTTTTTTTTCTCAAATAGTTCTTAACATCTTCTCATATTCAACGCCAGCCAGGTGTTAAGTGTATGCCTCAAGTTTTTTGCATTCCTAAAGTAGTTTTATTTTTATTTTTTTCCTTTCATACTATAATACATTTTTGTTTTGTTTTTCCTTTTCGTTGCTTCTGCTGTTTACGTTCTGCTTTTGTCTCTCTTTATTGTGTGTGTGTGTGCGAGACACCTTGAGCGCTTAATTAGCTAATGGCTGTCGACATCAGTTGCACATAAAGCGTGGCATAGACTGCAGCCCAATTTTGGCCAGTAAATTGGCCTGATTGGCATGCAGCACGTCGGGCCGGCCTTTGCTCACCGTTGAGCCCACTTCCTCTTCTTTTTTAATGGACTTTGCTTGCATTTTAAAATTGCAATATTTTCCGCTCCATCTACTTTACTTTCGACTCGACTCGACTCGACTCAACCCGCTGCCAGCTGCCTGTCATGCACGCTTTTCGCCTGTTTGCGCGGTTTTTTATATGCTTTCCACGTCCGTGGCAGCTCCGACAATGGGAGCTTTCACTATGTTGCAGCTGGGCACCGACTTGCTCCCTGTCAGACTGGAGCGAACAGCTGCTGATGCTATGCAAATAAAAATCTGTTAAAGTATTTAAAAGCTTGGAAAGATTGCATAAACGGATTCCCAGTATGCAATATAGGGTGATGTATGTTCCATGCAATCTCAGCTCTTTCACATTTCTATTTAGTAACTGAAAGGCAGAAATGAGTCAAACACGAGTCAAGCATATTCAATATGAGAATTTATGCGTATTTCAAAGGATGATTCGAAAAGCGATTTTTTTAAGTTGAATAAAAGGCAAACGAGAGCCGACAATAAAAAAAAAAATCTCGCCATCTTTACAAATATTGTGCATATAAATATGCTATGTAACTCGGCGAACAAAGGCGAGCAAACTCCTTTGTGATTATACCTGTAACCCGGAGATCCTTTCCCTGGCTGCGACCGCTGTCCTCTTAGCTGACGGCATGACAAGGGAGCTAGGCAGCGTCGCCGGGCAGCCCGGGGTTGGGGCCAACATCTGTTGGCCAACACGACAACAACACACAACACAATGGATAAAAAATTTAATGGCTTATGTAAATTTGCATTTGAATTGCTTTCTGAAAGCGGCTTTTGATGCGTGGCCGCATAAACAATTCGCTGTCTCCTGTTGTCTGTTGTCTGCTGTCCGTTTGGCTCTTTTGGCTTTATGTAAATGGTAAATGGTTGTGTGGCTAACAGTGCGTATGATGTACGCATCAAATGTTTGCCTTTACGAGTGCCGTAATAAAATCATATCAAAAATTTAATGTCCCAGCAATGTGCCAGCCAGCCACCAGCCACCAGGCATCTGGCTCTGCTTTTGGCCCGTCCGGTTGGTTACACGCTGTAGATTTTATGCGCCTGCATTTATCAAATTGTCAAATGAGCTGTCCGCAGCAGGACACTCGCCTGGCTGGCCACTACGCTTGCATATGTCCACTGAATGTCAGGGCTCACCGTGGGAGTTGCTGGCCGGGCCGAGCCGGGCAGCTCCTGCTCCTGCTCCTGCTGTTGCTGTTGTTGGTGCGTTTTGCATGGCAACTGAATGCGACTTTACACGCATCAATCAAAAAGGATGTCGCCAGTGCCTTTGTGCAATCAGGAAATGAATTACGTGAAATGAATGCCAGCGTTCTGCTGTCCCGGCAAAATACAAAGGCGCCCCACTCAATCCCGCCCGAGCGCGGATGCTTGCTTAAATTCCGTAACAACAAATTTGTTTACACACACATATATATATATTTTCGTTGAATAAACAGGAGACGAAACAGAATGGCAAATTATGTTGCTTGTTTTTCTTCCGGTTGTTTAAGCTCAACCTTCGTCCTTTTGCCAACAACAGGATGCAAGATATCCAAGAAATGGCGTAAATTATTTTTAATTTCCAAATATCAATATTATTTATTATGATGAAATGTAGGAAGGTACATTTGATAAATTTAATGAATACTTTGCAGTATATATAAATTTATATATTTTTTATA